CTTAGATGACCTAGTCTATGGTATAAAGAGACTGCCCAATACAGCCAGAAATGCTCAATGTGAAGAGTATAAAATTGATGAATAGGCCCTTCTAAAGATTCAATCCTTGTGTGTATCAAAAACCTTTTCCAGCACAGTGAAAAGAAAACCTACTGATGGTGAAAAATATTCGACAATACCATTTCTGACAAGGGTCTCATAGTAACACCTTGGTCTTTAAATTGACATCACTGCTCGTCAGTACTTTGGAGAGTTGCCTGACTTTCCCAAAGCAGTCTGTCTCCTGATCTCCTGACTGACTGCTGGCACCAAGGGTGTTGACTGTGGATGCAAGTATGACGAAATCATTAGCAACTTCAGTCTTTCCTCCATCTATCATGATGTTGCTGACCAATCCATTTGTGTGGATTACTGTCTTGCTAATATTGAGATGTAATCCATATTGAAGGCTGTATTTGTAATCTTCTGCAGCAAGTGCTTCAAGTCCTCTTCTCCTTCAGCAAGCAAAATTGTATCATCTGCATGATGCAGATTGTTGGTGAGTCTTCCTCCGTCTTGATGCCGTGTTCTTCTTCATAGAGTTCAGCAATAATTTGCTCAGCATACAGATTGAATAGGGATGGAGAAAGGATACAACCCTGATGTACAGCTTTCCCGATTTTAAACCACACAATGCTCCCTTGCTCCATTCAGACAACAGCTTCTTGGTCTAGGTCTAGGTTTCATCTGAGCACAATGAAGTGTTCTAGGCCTTGCATTCTTCTCAGTATTAGCTGTGATTTTTAGATCCACACTGCCAAATGCCTTGGCACATTATAAGGACGCCATGGCAGCCAGTAACAAGCAAGCCTTACAAAAACCATTTCTTTAAAAAAAAAATCAACTTCAGAAAAGCCAGGAGCCTCCTCAAGACTCTAGGAGTAGGGAGGGCAAAGCTCAGACTTGACCCAGGAGTCCCTGAGTGGTGCTAAGCACACAATTGTAGCCCAAAGGTTGGCAGTTCAAAGTCTCCCTGAGGTTCTGGGGAAGCAAGGCCTGGCAGTCTGCTTCCCAAAGGTCACAGCCCTGAAAATCCTCTGGAGAAGCTCTGTTCTGCACACTCAACAGAACAGACTCCCCAGCAGTCCAGCACAGTGGCTGGGGTTTGGGTTTGGGTTTTCTGGTGGCTTGTCTTCAAAGCTCAGGCCATTCCTACCACCCCATGTCCTGAATGTTGATATAAAACATAAAGTTCTTATAGAAAAGAGGGGCTTCAAAAATGTATTATTTCCTGCTTAAAAGGGGGAAAAAAAGCAAACAAAAACCAACCAAGAACTGAGACAGCAAAGTTACTACTGAAGCAGTTTCTTGAGGAAAGAGTGTATGCTTGAGTTTCAATAAAAACCCATTAAAGCAACTGAAGAAACGGCCTCTGTTTGATCTTTTGAGATCTTGATTCTAAAGGAAAGCAATTTTATTATGTTAACGTTCTGTAGCCTTATCATGAAAACACCATTGTTTTTGAGGCTTAAAAAAAATCAAATAAAAATTTGTGGAGTTCTTTATTATTCAATACTTACGAGCTGGGGAAACAGACAGTAACATTTTTTATAGATTTACTAGGCTGGAAACCGCAGTGCCAAACACAAGGTTTATTGTCAAATAAAACACTGTTTTGTTTTTTGATTGCCTGTTTTAGGAGAGTGTTGCTTCTGTTCTATAATTGCGTGCACAAAATTATTTAATTTGTTTTGTTTGGATCTTATTCTGGACACTTTCCCAGCCGGAAAAGATGTAAAAATTAAAACATCTATTATGTCTTTTATATTCTGAGGTGGGTTATAAAGAGAAGGGGGGGAAGCTTTAACGACTTGGAAAATCATTTTTTTAAGTCTCCTCGTTTGTCAGACCCTGTGGTCACCGGCACTGTGAATGCCTTCTTGACTTCGTGGCTCTGAGAGCAGATTTCAAAAACCCTGTGCAGCAAGGGACTGAAGCAGGAGGCAGGGTGCAGAAGACGACAGTGCAGAGGACTGTGGACTCAGTGACAGTGGTCGTCACGTCCTGCCCGCTGCCCTGCCTGCTGGTCTCTGCAGACCTGGGACTTCTGGCATTAGTGACAACATGTGGAAGGAACCCACTTTAATTGCAATGGATCACCACCTGCAGGGTGAAAGCAGCAGCTGGGGGGGTGGGGGGGAGGTGTCGGAAGGCCAGTACTCTGGTCAACGGCCTGGAGGATGCTGGATGAGTGTGAGGGAAGGACGGAGGAGCACAAGTACTTCCTGGCCTGGCCTGGGATCAGTCGAGGCCAGCGCAGGCTGCTCAGCTTCCCGCAGCTCTCATCCAGAACTCCAGGGGCCCAGGAGCACTTAGCTACTTCTGAAGTCTCTGGAGTGACCGCAGGCTCAGAAGCAGCGTGCAGGCTTCACGCAGCACCTGGGGTCAGGCGCAGGTGGCTTTCAAAGGCTGTCGAGAGGCTGTCTCTCACCAGGATCCAGCTCCTAGCCCTCCCCTCAGACCTCTGCAGGCTCGGCGCTCAAAGGGAAATGAAGCTGCTTTATTCTATTAGATGGAGAGTCGGCAGCAGATGGGAAAGTCCTGGACGTCAACATTCCTCTCCTAATCACAGGCTTTGAGGCAGAGTCAGGGTGAGGGGACACATGGGAGGAAGGCCCAGCCATGCAGAAGGAGGTGGGTGATGGATGGCGTAAACCACCCAGATGTGTGCAGGGCTGTAGACCCGATGACTTCTGGGCAGGTGTCACTCTAAACCAACTGCTGTCATTTCTGAGAAGTATGGAGGGCTTCCTGGGCATGCAGGCATGCCAACGAGGGTCTCTCCTTTATACCAAGAGGGTGGGTGGACCCCAGGACCCTGTGGTTCCCCTTCTGAAGCTGGCTCGGAGTCGCCGAGCAGGGCTACGCCCCACCTCTGTGGACCCACCTGTCATACTCATCGTCTCGCATCTTCAAGCAGAAGGTCTCCAGCACCCGCCTGAGCTCCAGCGGCTGGACCAGGCCCTTGCCGTCCACGTCCACAAGCCTCAGCGCCCTGAGGACTGCCTTGACGTTTCTGAAAACCTGGACAAGGAAATGGGTTTGGGGAAAGTCAGAAGATCCGTGCTGAGGAACCAAACTGGAAAGGAAGAAAGAACGTGCAAGTTTCTTGTCACTTCTCGTAACGTACGCCAGTTTCAAAGGCTCACAGTGGCAGGGACTGCAGAATGTCGCGTCGGCGGAACGGGAGTACTTTGCATTTATTGTGCATTTTCAAGGCAATTTTCTCTGTAAATGGTCTTAGTAAGTTTAAAAAAAAACCCACAAAAAATCTTTCTGATGAAAGCAATGTTTCGTATACAATCTAGTCCCTTTTAGAGCCATCTGAAAAGTCTTTTTTTTTTTTTGTTAATTGGTACTTAAGAACGACAGCGCTGGCATCGCCTGACGTGGAGGGTTGTGTGGTTCCCAGCCATGTGCAGGCTGTTTCTCCTGGTTACGGATGACTACTGCCGCAGCCCCTCGGAGGGGGGTGTGAAGACACTACAGACACTACAGGTTCCCGCGATCTCTCCCAGACTCAACACAGGCCTGGGTACTGAGCACAGCCACAGGCAGGCATCCCAGGGGGTCAGGTTTAGGGTAGAGGGGGAGGTGGAGCATGCCCTGGCTCTGGCTCTGACGCAGCCTTTACTGTGAGGACAAGAACCCCTTTGAGGCTCTCTTGGGACAAGCCCAGAGCTGAGTGATTTAATCCACCATGACTGCTAAGAGAAAAAGCAGGTTCATCCTGGAGAGGGTGAAACCAGACTGCACCTTGGAGGCAAGGATTCTGAAGTTCCATCTGACATACTGTGGGCATGTTGCAAGGAGAGACCAGTCCTTGGAGAGGGACGTCATGTTTGGAAAGGTGGAGGGATGGAGAAAGAGAGGAAGATCCTCGATGAGATGGACTGATACAGTGACTGGAGTAATGAGGGTAGGTGTGTCAGAGACAGTGAGGTTGGCACAGCATAGAGAAGGTTTCAGGGCTGTTGTACAGAGGGTTACAAGCAACTCGACAGCACATAACAACAACAATTGTATGAGGAGTGACCATGGACCCAACTAAAATTAAACTCTTGGCAACTTTGGTGTTTTTCTCCACCTGTCATGAATCTGCCTATTGGCCCAGTGGTGAGTAGCTGGATTAGATGAAGAAAAAGGTGGATTGGGGGAAGAGTCATTACAACTTGCATTATAAAGATGACCCATTTTTGCTTATAGTCAGTAAACAGGACTCGAAGCACTTACTGAAGAAGATCAAAGACTTCAGCCTTCAGTATAATGATACTAGAAATCCTCACGAGATCAATAGGCACTATCACAAGAGATGGAGAAAAGACTGAAGTTGTCAATGATTTCATTTTACTTGGATCCACCCATGAACATCTACAGAAGCAGAACTGAAAAATCAAAAGCAGTCAAGAAATGAAAACACAGGCTAGGCTGGGCAAATCTGCGGTCAAGAACTTCTTTAAAAAGCGAACCTGTCACTTTCAAGACCAGCGTGCCCCTGACTCGAGCCGTAGCGTTTTCAATTGCTTTGTATGCTTGTGGAAGTTGGACTTGGAAAAGTGGGGCTGAGGACAGAGTTGAATACACCACAAATTTCCAAAAGAACAAACGTATCTGTCTTGGAAAAAGGGCAATGAGAACACTCCTTAGAAGGGCGGTGTGACTTGGTCTCACAAACCTGACCTGCCGTCAGGAAGGGCCAGGCCCTGGAGAAGGACGTCGTCCTTGGAAAAGCAGAGTGTCGGTGAAGAAGAAGACTCTCAATGAGAGGGGCTGGCAGGGGGACCGTAACAACGGGCGTGGGCACCGCCGCGGCCCTTAAGACGGCAGACGCCAACGTGATGCCGTCCAACAGCCACAGAAGGAAGTAAATGTAAAAAAGTAATTTTTAGGTAAGGAAACTGGGGTTCAGAGAGACCACCTGAAATACTCAACACAGCTCGAGAGGGAGGATGCTGAGAGGCAACCCCAAATCCTACCTTGAACCACAATAGCCTCTTCCCAAGAGAGCAGGAAAAACGAAGAACAAAATACCCACCCAAACTGGGTACTGGGCCCAAGTGCAAGTGGCCGAGGGAGGGGGACCTGCATCATGACCGGAAGGCCACAGCTTGGAGCAGGCGCACTTCGGGAGATGCAGCGCCCGCAAAGAGGACACTGCTGGGTGAGAGGGGCTGACTCGGGGGCTGCACCAGGGGCCCACGCACACAGTGACCTTTGTGGGGACGGCGGCACAGGACCGGACAGTGCTTTCCTCTGTTCCATGTAAGGTCTCTGTGAGCTGGAGGTGACTCACGGGTCCTGGCCACAACATCTCCCATTTCTGGTCCATTCCTGTTGTCTAAACATCATTGTAGTTGGACCGCCCACCCCGCGGCTGCTCTCAGGCCTCTCCCCGCTGGCCCAGCTGAGCTGCCAGCCAGCTCTTCTTCCACACTGGAGCCCTTTCCAACCCCCGTTCCCCATCCTCTTCAGTCTCCATTCCTAGTTCCACGTCATCTCCCCAGCCCCCAAAGGGCCCTCTGGACACAGTCTTCAGATTGCTTCTACTGTGCTCACTGCCCAGGAACCCCGTGCAGGCCTGTGCAGTAATGACCAGCAGATGACGCTCAATGTATTTGTCCAGTACAGCCAATGCCTCTCTGCCCCCACCTTGGTTACCTCCTCCCCTGCTCCTCTCCTAACACGGGGCAAACCCCCCGCCAGGTCCTGTCCCTCACACTCCCTCCCATCCAGGTCCTCCTGGGTTTCATTCCCAGAATGCACCCACCTGGTGCATTTTCCACAGAGGAGTGCAGTGACTTACACTAGGGCCCCCGTTTCCATAGTGGACCCCACCACAGCCAAGGTACCCTTCCTACGTGCAAGTCAGAGCTCCCCTTCTCCTGCTCAAGGCACATTCAGAGTGACCCATGGGGCTGACCTCCTGGCCACAGTACCACAGCCCTCCCTACTGGCCCTCTGCTGTGCTGGGCTCTACCTTGTCGAAGCTTCTGCAGCTGTTGTTCCTTCTCCCTAGAAGAGCTCTGGTAGTGTAATGTGTGAAGTGTGTGCTGCTACCCAGAAGGTTGGGAGTTTGAATCCACCAGCCACTCCACAGGAGGATGGGTAACCTCCTCCCATAAAGGTCTGCAGCCTCAGAAACCTGCTGATCCCTGTGAGTCACAATCTACTTGATGGGAGTGGGTTTGGATGGGGCTCAATCTGTCTAAAACAGTCTCTCCCAGACGCACAGCCCTCCCACATACACAGCAGGCCCACTCCCCCATTTCACTCGGCCTCAGCTACTTGTCGTCTCTATAACCTATAAACAGTCTCTCCCAGACACACAAGCCCTCCCACACACACAGCAGGGCCCACTTTCCCTTTTTACTCAGGCCTCAGTTATCTGTTGTCTCATCTGAAAGGTCTCCTGACCACTCTTCACTTTATCTCCCCACCACCTGGAGTGACCCACTGGTTTTTGTTCACGGCTTTATCCCTGGGGTCGAGAGCAGCATCACACACATAGAAAGGACTCAGTAAAAGCTGTGTACATGAACAAATGAACAAATGGATGAATGAATCCACCTTCTTGCCCTGAGTGTGGCTGAGATCTGAGGATGGCGCAGAATAGGGCAGCCTTCTATCCGTTCGGCCAGGGTCAACCTGACAGCTCCTATCAGTGAGAACGCCACAAGCCGAGGAAGCTGCCTTCTGTGTCTGCAAACCCTCCTGACACGTGCCCATTCACTCAGAAAAGGATGGCGATATATCATAATCCAACAAACACTGAGTGTCTGGAGCTCTAGCAGTGCAGTGGGTTAACTGTCGGCTGCTAACCCAAAGGTTGGCAGTTCAAACCCACCAGTCTCCCTGTATGAGAAAACTGTGGCACTCTGCTTCGGTAAATACGTACAGCTTAGTGGTAAGAAGCTGTGCTGCCGTCCCAAAGGCATGTGGTTTAAATCTGCAGCCTGCTCCCTGGGAGAAAGATGGGCAATTGCCTTCGGTGTGACCTGCCACCTCTGGAAACCTGCTAGAGAGTCAGTTATGAGTCGGTTCACACCCGATGGCACAACGACAAGAGGAACCGTATAGGCAGCTCTGCTCAGTCCTGTCTGCTCCCCATCTGACAGCAGTGGGGTTCTTCATATGAAAATTCACTGCCGTGGAGGTGACCCAACTCCCAGTTGACCCTCCGGGGCGTCCCTGAGGCTGTACCGCCACACGAGCAGAGTGTCCATCCTTCTCCTGCAAAGGCTCTGGTGCATTTGAACCACAGCACATCCTCGGTCCAGCAGCTCAGCTCCGTGTGCACTCCGTCACCAGGCCTCCGTCCCCTCTTCCATCTGAGAACTACAGAGCAACAACCCTGACGACTTCAATAGTTATTGCTCTCGTCGTGTTTGTGTTCCACTGAGTCATAACTGACCCATAGCTGACCCTTCTTCAGGTTTTCAGAGGCGGTAAATCACACAGGAGGAGAATGTCCTCCCCTGGAGCAGCTGGTGGCCTTGAACTGGGTACCTTTGTGTTGGCAGCACAATTCCCTAAGGTACTCCTGATTCAGGCCATGGTCTTCTCAATCACCTGCTATCCATCAGAGAGTCAGGCAGTGAATGAGGATGACAGAAGGCCTGATGTCCTTGAGCTGTGGTGCTGGAGAAGGGCACTGCGTATCCCGTGGATGGCTAAGAGAACAAACAGATGTCATGGAGAGGGTGTGGCCAGAATGCTCCTAGAGCCAAGGATGACCACTTGGTCCTTCATCCTCTGGATGTAGAGCTGGACAAGGCTGTTCCTTGGTAAGTGACATCATGCTTGGAAAGATGGAGGGTCAGCAAAAGAGAAGAAGACCCCCCACACACACAAGATGGAGTGGCAAGTGACAGGAGCAGTGGGCTCGAGGGTCTCAGAGATGGTGAGGACAGCAGAGGAGAGGACAGATTTCAGAGTCGTGCTCGACTTGACGGCACCCAACAACAACCACCACCCGCTCCCTGGTGCAGGACTATCACCATCTGGAGCAGCAACATGCAGAGAAG